TTATTGGCCCAAGTCAACAGATTGCATCCCCAAGCCTTTATAACATCCTGCTCTCTATAATCTGAAGTCCAAGTGCTTCAAAAAACAACACACCTCTCCACAACAACCCACACAATTTGAGGTATCTTTCATAACTGTAGTTGAAACAAAAGTAGAAAAATTGCACTTTTGTAGGGTTTGTTTCAGGCCTTAAAATAACTGTACACTAATCAGATCTTTCAGGGTTTCAGGAACTGGGCTTGATCTTTGAAATTATGAGAAATGTGTTTGGTCTTGATGTCCAGGTCATTGGGCTTGAGATGATGAGCTCTGTTGAAACTTCTACCCGAAGGGATTTTGTTTGGCCTTGACCAACAATAGAGGACAGATAGTTCAGTTACATAGGCTGTTGTCAGGAACAGTACACGCAAAGAAAACTCATATATCATGACAATCCCATTGCATCATGGTTGTAGAAACATAATAATTATTATTTATTTCATTAAGTCAATCAAATGTGGTAAATAAAAAATCAAGCAAGGTAAAAAAAAAAGAAGCAAGAAGGTCAGATTGCTGTTGTTGTATACTTAATGTTTTTTGTGGTTACTGTGCCGGTAACAAGCTTTAGAATTCAAGGTAACAAATATGTCTTATTTATGCTATGCCTGTGATATTTGGTAAAAAATTATTATTATTATTATTATTGGTGATGCTTTACAAAAAGGTCTTATTTGCCAACATTAGTTCATGATTAGCTAACATGAACTAAAAATCAACAATACATTTCTTGCATTTATTATCATTATTATCATTTATTAATGTTAGTTTAAAAATACAATTGTTTAGTGTTCATTCGTGTTAATTCACAATGCATTTTTTTATAAAATGCATAAGTAAATTGTAAAATTAATTTAATAAAAAAAAATAATTAAGGGTTATTTATATATTTTGCTTTTGAGTGCCAGTAGTTTGTATTCCAAGCATTCCTTTTGCCACTATTTGTTATAATCAGTGATATTTTTTATACACGATCCTTTTCAAGCTGTTGCTCTGCCATTAAATTACTTGACCAAAGAAAACTGGCTGTAAAAGAAAATGGTCTACTCGCATTATGTTATGAATTGCATAAAACACATTTAGAAAAAAAAATATTTTGCTGGAGAAAAAGTAAGTGGTGCTAGAAAAATTGCCATGGATGTGGCTAGTTGCCAGGGCATTGCTATGCGGTTGCTATGGTGTTCTGAGAGGTTTCATCACATTGCTATGCAGTTCCTATGGTGTTCTAGGTGATCCTAGGTGGTTATTTATTGGCCCAAGTCAACAGATTGCATCCCCAAGCCTTTATAACATCCTGCTCTCTATAATCTGAAGTCCAAGTGCTTCAAAAAACAACACACCTCTCCACAACAACCCACACAATTTGAGGTATCTTTCATAACTGTAGTTGAAACAAAAGTAGAAAAATTGCACTTTTGTAGGGTTTGTTTCAGGCCTTAAAATAACTGTACACTGTAAAAAATGACTGAATTTAACGGTAAAAGATTGTAAAAATGCTACAGTAAAAACCTGTTAAATGGTTAACGGTAAATTCCCCTACTATATACGGTGAAAAACTGTATTGGACATTAATTTTACGGTAGTATACCGTTTTTGGAAGTGAAAAAGACCGTATAATTTACAGTGAATAACCGTAAATTGACATGCCCAGAATTCCCTGCATTACATTTCAAATTTGATGTTTTTTTGTTGAAATAACTGTTTATTCTTAGTTTTTTCTTATCAGTTTTGTATATTAGGGTTGTGTGTTACACCTAATGTTGTTAAATTAATGTTTATTGCATTATTTTAGTTTCATGTGTGATGATTATGTTTAGTGTTTGTGTGAATGACGCTGTGCACCTTCTATATATGTTATTATTTAAAAGCTGCTTGTGATAGGCTTTGGTTCATCATGTGACTTTCTCATCACCACCTGCTTTTGGTGGTTATCAGTGTATTACAAAGGTACAAAACAGATTTCAGTACTTCAATAGGTTGGTATATTAACATTATATCAGTTAATGAAATTACGGTATTTAACTGTAAATTTAAGTTAAAACCGTAAAACCTAAAACGTTGCTACCGTATTTTTTACGGTAAAATTCCGGCAACCACAGCTGCCTTTTTTTTTACTTTAAATTTTACAGACTTTTTTTTACAGTGTAGTCTAAATATTGAGGTTTCAGCCGAAGTTTCTCAGTTACATTTGCATCGGGTGCTGTTGTGGTTTGCCGGTAGCGTGGATTACTGCTATGAGGACTTCTGTTCTTGTTTTGGTGTTGCAGCCTTGAAGCGGCCTGTTGCATGACTGAAGCACTGTCTTCATGATGGCTTGAGGATGATTGTGATGGAGCAACACTGTGAAAATTGGACCAGAAGGGAAAAAAATTACACTTTAGTAATTCTCTCTCTTTGCCTCTCTTTCTTTATCTCATTTCTCAGACTCACTACAGTGATGGAGAGTACATTATCAGACAAGGTGCCAGAGGGGACACGTTCTTTATCATTAGCAAGGGAAAGGTAAGATCGTTTCCAGCACAGAGACAGAACACCACTAAGGTTGTATGCATGAACAACTTTTGAAGAAAAGTTTCTTTCCTGTCATCATTTACTCCCCCTAATGTTGTTCAAACCTATATTCAGGCTGAAGACAAAAAGTCAAAAGTCTTAAAAGGGAGCTCAGACGTTTTGAAGAATTTTCATGCAGCATTTTCACATACAGCAATACAGTACTTAATTATGACCACGTATGTCAAGCTCCAAAACCGACAGAAACCAACATAAAAAGTATCATAAAAGTCCATATGGGCTGTGTGCTATCTTCCAAATCTTTGAAAGTTATACAAAATCTTTGTATGAAGAACTTAATGAAATGTAAGTAATTATTCACTGACAATCTTACCTTTCAATGAAGGAATACATTTTAATGTTGGGTGGACTACAACAAAATTGTAACTGAATGAAAATAAGTCTTTATTAATAAATAATCTGCCCTGTAAAGTGGTTGGTCTTTTACTGCAACTAGTGTTCATTTCAGCTGGAAACTATTCCCAATTAACCTTTTAGATTCGAGAGCTTTAGTGAAGGGTAAGATGTTTAGTGAATAATAACTACATAAATTTCAGCCTGTTCCTCACATGAAGCTATTGACTGACTTCAGAGGATTTAGACTTTAAGTTTCATTGTCTTTCTGAAGCTTGACAGACGTGGTGGTCACTGTGAAATATTGTAAGGAAAAGAGCTGTGTGTCAGTTCTTCAAAATTCTTCCTTGAACTGGCCATTAATCTGAATACATTTTCAAGACCCTTCATCCCTTCAAATACACTCTCTCTATTGTTGCTCTATCATTTATTATCATAAGTGTGACAAATGCCAACCCGCAACAAATGTAAAAGTTAAATAATTGATATTTTAGGAACAAATCAGTGGTTAGCCTTCCAGCTTTTCATGACCAATAACCTGTAATTGCAGGTGAACGTTACTCGAGAAGATCTACCCAATGGGACCCCTGTCTATCTGCGGGCCTTAGGTAAAGGAGACTGGTTTGGAGAAAAAGCTCTTCAAGGGTAAGAAATTTTTGCACTACTTGCCGCGCTGCAATTGCAGCTGGCTGCTGTCCATGTTTACGAAAGCATCCGTTGACATCAATTATGCGCTCGATGGATCATTTGCTGCAGGGACAGCCTAATGGGCTGCTAACTGCGAAAAATCCAAACAAAGCATCTGTTTTGAGTTGTGTTCAACTTGCTGTGGGAATACTTTTTGAAAGGAATTTTGAAAGCATTTAAACTTACTGTGCAATCAAAATTGACCTTATTAGCTTCCTGAATACACATTCCGGATATATGAGAAATAAATCTGAATCATTCATCAGAATGCAGTAACTTGCTCCACCTCTGAAAGAACTTTCTTTTATGGCTGACATTACTGATCTCTCTTATTTGTGAAGTCTTCCTTCCTTCCTTCCTACAGTTTTCTCCTGATTCACTTAGAAATATTTCACATTATGGAAGTGAGGTGTGAACTGCATTTCATTTGGCTTTTAACCTGATTTGAAATGGGCTAATATGAAAATGGCTGTCATATTTGAGGCTTTATTTGCAAGGGTACCATCTAATGGACTGGGAGCACACAGCGCTTCATGAGTTGAGCTAATTTGAAAAGAAGATGAGACCAGTTGTGTCAGAACAGTCAGATGCACATCCAATCCTCCCCACCTCATATTTCTCACATGGCAGACCGGTTATGAACATCATCCTCTGCTCTATTTCCATATTCTTGCACAATCCCACTGCTGCTGATTTAATAGAGGCCAACTGCAGGCACCTTTACACAGCTTCCATTACGGCTTTTGATTTGTGTTTCAAGTGAGTTATCCCTGCTAAGCAAAGAGATGCTTTTCAAATGTGATTTACACATGATGGTTTTAGTTCTGAAACTTTCTGAACATCAGTTGCAAGGGATACAGACAGAACATATGCATTGGGGACCCCTAGTGGAGATCAGAGGAAGCGTTAGTCCTTCTGACAAACAACAAACCATTTAATTGTTATTGTTGGGCAATTACCCTAATGAATAGTAGTAAACACAGTAAAAAAAAAAAAGATAAATATAGATAAAGTAGAATTAAAATAGAATAGAAAGTGTTAGAGTTAGAGGGTCAAATAAAGGTGGAACAGATGTGTTTTTAGTCGTTTCTTGTTATGCAAATATAAATTTCCTAGAAAATTAAGAGCATTGCTATATCAGTGCTATTTCCTTGTCAGCTAAATCTCAGCTATACTTTAATGTCAATTACCCCATAATGCTTTGATTCACCCCAAAATAAAACTACTTACAGTATATTTTTAAGTACACTCATGTTGTTTCAAACCTGTTTTAATGTCTTTTTACTTTGAATACAAACTGATAATATTCACATTGCTTTTTGCAATTAATACAATGCAACATAAAATGAACAAGGGCTATCAAACATTTATTTTTGAGTGCGCTAACCTACAATTTCAGTGCTACACTGAAGACCTCATGCTTCCCAACCGGCACATTAACCTTGGTTTCTTGGAGAACCTCTCGTTGTGTCACTTTATCCTGTTATTCTCCCAGCTTGATTGACAGCTCTGACCTTTCCTTCATAAACCTCACACTGTACTTGCTGTGATGTGTGCTCACTACATCCAGACTTTGACTGACAGCTGAAACATGTTTGCGCTGCCTGGTCTTAACCTCCCTCTGTCTTTCTTTGACTCCATCCTCACCTAATGCTGTCACAGCATTCAAAGACATCCCTCTGCCTCTGAAGTGTGCCATGGTAATTTAAAGATGTTTCCCTGTGCTGGACTTTCTCAGTGGCAGTTTTTATCCTCATATGTGATTGATGTGATAAGTGTAGCTGTGATGTGAATAGCACAGGACTGATGTAATAATCACTTCAGGTGTTATAATCGCACCTTATTTGCAAGAGCTGCGGCACCTCCGATATGTTCGGTCTCAATGGGAGGTATCTTTTTCACAGTTGTACCGGGAAACATCATATCTAATGAGAGCCAGTTTGAGGCAGTTGAATTCCAGCATATGCAGATGAGTCTCAAGACAGCGGACACTAATGACACACTAAACATAGACTTGTCCACAGGAAAGTGAAGAATATTCACAACTGTGTGGTGCTAATTGGAGACCCATATGTCAAAGTTGAGGATGAGGGTGACATGTCACAGTTTCTGTATTATATAAATATCACATTGGAAACTTTGGAAACTGGAAACATTTTACTTTTATCATTTATTTAGCCATTTTTCAAATGCATAAAAGCAAATACATTGCCCCATACCCAGAGTTTTGGTCCTAAAACATGAAGAACCATAATAAAAATATTAACTATATTTTAAACGCATGTACTTTCATAACACGCCAGAACTATGTGGATATAGCAGGCAATTTACTGGCTTTTTAAGGTAATTGCACATAAGTGGTTTGCTGTCTGCAGCTGGTTTTGTTGATGTCCTTGTAATGTGTTGTAAAGTTGCTGAACAAATCAGCAATTTAAAGAACAATCAATGTAATTGTAAAGATGCACCATGATTGTTCCTTGTTTGAGTGTTGTTTGCCAGTTTAAAACTCTTTGGCTCAATGCAAGGGGGTTGTGGGTGGTAGTCAGGGAATTGTTGTACAGTTGCAGGTGCTCTGAGTGGATTTTGTGTGTTGTAGTTGCTATGTAGTTCAACAAACTACATGATTTGAGGTACAATTCACATCCCTAGCATAAACAGAATGAGTTGCACCCTAAAATGTAATACCTATAGTTTGGGTCTGTGCAAAAAGCATGATCAATAATAATTGCTTGCTTTAGTAAAAAGCACTATTAATGTCTTGAGTTGTATCAACACAGTCTCATCTGAAAATCATGCCTCCACCTGCACTTTTGCAAAAACCTACCTACCTTCACTGCAGTTTCTAGGTGAAATGAACAATAGTGCAGGACTTAAAGTTCTCTGGCACCGTGCCGGATCTCCGGCGTGCAGAGTTTGGCTGCGGAAAAAAATAGTCCTACATTAAAAAAAAAACATCTTGTTGATTGACATCACTTTTGAGTCCATGACTTCGCCTACCAATGGTATGAGAGGAGCACAGCTTTCACTCTCAACCAAACTAATATTACTAGCTAATCAGAACGTTTTGCTCTTATAAACACGAGACACGCATAATAGTATCCAATTGCGGAGTCGCAGCCCTGATGAATGGAGAAGCGCGACAAAAAGCTGCGAGGCGCAATGGTCAAAGATGTCCATTTAGCGCATATTTACATAGAATAACTAATTAAAAAGCAGCGGAGCTTTGTAAACAGCTCAGAGTAATCATGTCATCTCCATAAGAACGATATGATTGCCAGAACAAATTTACCGGGATTTTTGAAAAGGTCCTGTTCACACATGATCTATTAATGGTAACTTACCGGTAATTTACCAGTACTGTATGTGTGAAAGGGGCTAAACTCTTCCTCTGCATATACTGTGAATTTGAATTGCTTAACGTTCATCTGGAAAAACAGTGTGCATTATCTCACTAGATTTGTAACGTAAATCATTTATAAACCTTTGCCAACACAGGAGAATACATCAACCTATTTCTAAATATGCCATGTATGGTACATCACAATTTCAAAATAAAAGTTCCTGCATGTGGCCAAATATTAAAATTAAATGGATTTAAACATCGTTTTATCACGCTGTAAAGTGAAACGTCACCAGGCCGTTGGCGCCTTCTGCAGGTATTTGTTTTAATACATAGTGTACTTAAGTTGGTTATGTTCATATTATGTATAGGCATATTACATTATGTATTTTAACAGTGTTGTTCAATACAATCATGTAATTTCTTGGTTTTGATTTTATTTGAGCCAATTATTATTGCCTCATCGTTAGTTTATATTTAAATAGTCATACTAAAGCCTGGTTTTCACTTCGGTCTGTTTGTTACTAAAAAATATCAGATTACTCAGTTGTCAAAATAATCAGTAGATTACTTCATTACCAAAATAATCATTAGTTATAGCCATAGATTAGTTACAATATTTCTAAATACAACTGCATTGTTTTACTTTTTTGTAATTAAAAGACAAATATTTTGTCATTGAAAATTTCTTAAAAATTGTATTAAAATATTGTCTCGTTCTAGTGAATCAAGTATCTGCATTTTGTCTCATCTCTTGAGCTAAGTTTATCGTCACACCCCTAGTGTCGAAAAGTGGTGATATAGCTCATCATTTTCCAAGTGTATGATATAGCTTTCATTCTTCAGGTCAACCATATATTCATGAAAAAAAAATAGTTTGAATAAAGAAAGCAATAACTTTGCCATAGTATCCTTTCAAATGCTAAAGTTGCCACAGTCATTGCATGCTTTGCATGTGCTGCCCCGGGGCGCCCCATAAAAAAAAGTTGCTTTAACCCCTGACAGTGGCAGTAAAACACCAACAACTTGTATTTGTTTTCACACAAATTATGGGGGCAGAAGGTTGATTGATAAAGACTTAATTTCAAAAACTTTTACCAAACTAATACATTTTGATGTTTGCATCACAAAACCAGCTTCATATACAGTATATGGATTTTCTGATGTTGTAAACATGCTCAGAAGCTCACCCGGTACAGCATTGCACTTGCGATTTGGAGTGTGATGGCATGAGTTCTATGAACTATAAGTCACGACACTCAGGTAAAATGGCATGGTTGCATCAGTAAATGTGTTTTTATTTCATGTTGGCTTTTGTTGATGTTATCTGATTTAGGGTGTGGTTTAACGTAGGTTCTACGTTATTTTCAAATGCAATAGAGCATTAATCTATTAGCGCCACTCACCGGACATTTAATTTCTGAGCTGGCATGATCTGTACAACAACCAACACAATAAAACGTTGCCAGATTCACGTTCGTCTGTTTCGGATAAAACTGAACAAGCTTTTACCACCTCTCACTGGACATTTCAGTTTGAAAGTGTTGTTTCATTTGCATGTTTTTCCAATGAGCCTGGCTTGTTCCGTTAAGCCTGGGTTAAGAGTTAAGAGGCACTTCCTGTTTGTGTGTGAAGGCAATCAGCATTCCCACCTGGTCATTGTGAATTGGCAGTATGCAGCTGCTTGGAGCTGTCATTCAGAATTCTGGTCCACACACACAAAACACACACCCACACACTGTTGAAGTTCAGGCCAGCCACAAAGAGGACAGACTATGACCTCATCCTTCCTGTAAACATAGACTTCACTTCCTGTGAATGTTTGTCAGACTGCTGTGAGGAAGACTCCAGTGACACAGAGGGCAACCATTCTGAGTAATGCCACAGACGCTGTTGTTTTCTGTGTGTGTTTTGTGATGTGAGAAACCTTACAGTGTTGAATTGTTGGGTTACGCTGTGCCATGCGGTGAAAAATGCTTTACAATAATAATGGCTGATGATTAACACTGTTCCATTTGTCACTGATTAGGAAGAATTATGTTCTATGGATGCAAATTTTTCTGAAATAGTATAATGGATCTTGATTGGTTGTTTTCCTCGTATGAAGTACGTTTACATACACAATTATTAACAAGCTAGAGTGAATAGTTGAGATACAGTCTTCATCTGTCTATCCCAGTAGGCTATTCATGACACAATGCATAATTGATTAATGATTTAAAGGATTAAACTGCATATTTTATCTGACTTTTTTTTTTTTTAGCTACAGTCCCATTAAGTATTTTAGTTCGACTTCATAAAAATCGGACTGGTATGATTTTAATTGGGCTAAAGCTGAAATCAAACCTTTAAAGTATATGCAAGCAAACTTTTGGATTAAATTATGATGGTATAAGATTTTATATCGCAGTAGCTGTGTTTTTTTTTATAATAGCTATTTTTGCTATATTAATGTTTTATATAATAAATAACCATCTCATTTGATTATTTTATTTTGATTATTTAATGCTAAATCTCACATTATGTGACACTTCAAAAATATAAAACAAATATTATTAGTAATATTAGAGGTCGACCGATATTGGATTTTACTGATATCTGATTTAGGGTGTGGTTTAACGTAAGTTCTACATTATTTTCAAATGCAATAGAGCATTAATCTATTAGCGCCACTCACCGGACATTTAATTTCTGAACTGGCATGATCTGTACAACAACCAACACAATAGAACTTTGCCAGATTCACGTTTGTCTGTTTCGGATAAAACTGAACGAGCTTTTACCACCTCTCACTGGAATTGGGCTAAAGCTTTTATATGACATTATAAAAATACAAATTATTACTTTAGTCTGGCTGAAATCAACCCTTTATAGTATATGCAAGCAAACTTTTGGATTAAATTATGATGGTATAAGATTTTATATCGCAGTAGCTGTGTTTTTTTTTATAATAGCTATTTTTGCTATATTAATGTTTTATATAATAAATAACCATCTCATTTGATTATTTTATTTTGATTATTTAATGCTAAATATCACATTATGTGACACTTCAAAAATATAAAACAAATATTATCAGTAATATTAGAGGTCGACCGATATTGGATTTTACTGATACCGATACCTAGGTTGGACCACACTGGCCGATACCGGTTAATTAACCGATAGTTTTTCAAATAGATACTGAACAGAAAATAAAATCTAGTCAATAAATCATTCCCTACAGTATACTGTGTACAAACACCGTTTCATTGTCGATGTTTTAAACCCACCTCTGAAGTGCTCTGTGCAGCGAGCAGTATCACTTGTCTAAACAAACTGCACATGCTGTCAGTGAGTTCCGCCTCTAGGCTGCTCTCGTGCTGTATAACAAAGACTATAGGGACTTTTATGCATAAAGAGGACCTTCTCAGCCACTCCAGCAATGGACACAACCAGGAAAAACTATCGGCATGGAATTTTGCTGATAACCGATAGTTTCACCAATCAACTATCGGTGCCGATTAATCAGCAAAACCAATACATCGGTCGACCTCTAATATATATATATATATATATATATATAGTATCATCCTGCATGATAAACCTAAATAAATAATAAATATAAATATTTTTAAATGTACTTTTTACTATTTAAATGTACTTTATACCATTTACTATTTTTATATTTAAAATTTATTAATTTATTATTAATATTCTCATTTAATTGATTTAAATACTATTTATAGGGAGAAGTTTTAAAATGTACTTTAACTTGCACTCAAAGAGATTTGCTCAATTCTGAAAATGATTAGAGGGAACTTTGAAAGTGGTACTTGATTAAAGAAGGTATTTGGCCTGAAAAGTATGAGAATTGCTGGTTTCTCTCATTCCTTCAAGCACTGAGTACATGAAGAGTAAAGAAGGGGTGAATATCAGCTGCCTTTCTGTGTCTCCCTCAATTCCTGCCCAGATAAAGACGTCTTTATTCTGTCTGTGACTGTCCGCTTGCATAAACAGAATCCCTTCTGTACTTACACACACATGCAGACAGACATATGATTGCTGGGCATATTGAGACGTCAGTCACGAGGGGGATTACTGAGAGCTCAATGAACTGTCATCAACACACACAGATTTACAATCCAGAGACTGTGTTTCAGTCAGAAGATGTGCATTATTACAAAACAAAAGTCTTTTAATGACTTTTCATAAACAAAATAAATGGATTTTACACAATATGAAATCAAAAATTACTATTTACTTTCTTAATATGGTTGGTATTATTATAATTAATCAGTGCACATTATTCTGAAGAAAAACTGTTTGTATTTATAACCTTTCATAAAAATATAATATGACTCTTAACTTTTATAAAGAATATCTCTTTGGATTTGAGACTTTAGTCTTTGCGACTTTACAGATCTTCTTTATGCTCCAAGAGCTTGTAACACTCCAAAGAGAAATGAATAATTGAAATCGCATCATATGACCCCTTTAAACTAAATAAAAATGAAATGTTTTCTTGACAACTGACTGAAATAAAATAAATAAATGTTATCAAATATATATATATATATATATATATATATATATATTATCCACAAGTATACCCACTTGGCTCAAATATTGAAGAGAGCATGTGCTGTTTAACCAAAGTTCCCAGTTTAATTTAAAACTGCTTTTTTTTTTCCGCCAGTATTTTTAATTAAGGTATTTGACTGGAAATATAAACAAACTCATTTATGAGACACTATGTTTCCTTCTTATTATCCTCTAATGAAATTATATTGCAATTCAGTAATTATTCAAAGATAAATACATTATAGACTTTATAGGGCTGTGTATGATTGACATGTATTCTTTGTGCCTCCGCAGAGAAGACATCAGGACGGCTAATGTCATCGCCGCTGAAGCTGTCACCTGCCTCGTCATCGACAGAGAGTGAGTTTTGTGTGTGTGTGTGTGTATGTGTGTACTGATGCTGTGAAATTTGATTAGTCTTTCATCTTTTCCACTGTGTGCTCACTAAATTACCTCTGCTAATTTCTAATGACCTCATACGACTTTCACTGTGGCAAGTTCATGCTAGTTTACGCCAGTTAACTTCAGGCAGCCATTTCTTCTCGTTTGCCATCCTTAGACAGCAGACTGTCAGGAAAAATGTAATTATGATGGTATAAGATTTTATATCGCAGTAGCTGTGTTTTTTTATAATAGCTATTTTTGCTATATTAATGTTTTATATAATAAATATCCATCTCATTTGATTATTTTATTTTGATTATTTAATGCTAAATATCACATTATGTGACACTTCAAAAATATAAAACAAATATTATCAGTAATATTAGAGGTCGACCGATATTGGATTTTACTGATACCGATACCTAGGTTGGACCACACTGGCCGATACCGGTTAATTAACCGATAGTTTTTCAAATAGATACTGAACAGAAAATAAAATCTAGTCAATAAATCATTCCCTACAGTATACTGTGTACAAACACCGTTTCATTGTCGATGTTTTAAACCCACCTCTGAAGTGCTCTGTGCAGCGAGCAGTATCACTTGTCTAAACAAACTGCACATGCTGTCAGTGAGTTCCGCCTCTAGGCTGCTCGGAGCACAATGCCTCGCTGCACAGCGGGACTCGTAGACCTCCTCTCGTCTCTGTAGACATCGTACTCTAGAGACTTTGATTTTACTTCGGTCTGAGGAAGCGATATAATAAGCAACCCCTCATGCAAAGTGTATTTCACTCTCACTGCAGGAATTCGCCCATTATCTCAGCCCTGTCATCAGTCAGGGGTTTATGGTAATGCTCATTAAAAGACTCTTGTTGTTGTTAAATTGTATGCTAGCTGACCTGTGATCAGTGGGGATTTTAACCACTGATTCATGCAGCTGATTTCCTGTAGGAATAGAGCACAACAGTAAGACTCACTATTTATCAGCTTGGGATGGGGAAGTATTTGTACCTTTCATTTTATCCATAGGGATTTCAGAAGAAAAAAAGTTAAAGCACGTTTTGAGCAGAAAGGGGAAATTCTGTCATTTTGTTCCGGTCACATACTCTGTTTTATTGTTTGAAAAGATTTACGTTGGCGGAAAGAAATATCTACTGTAACTGGATACATTTGGCAAACAATTACTCAGTGTTACGGTCATTTTTTAATTTGTTCTAATAATTTATTAGAAAATACATAAAAAATGTAATTCATATAAACAACTTTTGTGATACATGTTTTTAATTTCTTAATTAAAATAATTGTAATAATATCTTTTAGGCATGAAAAACATCATAAAATGAAATTGTAATAAAGAAAAAAGCATTATTATATTATATTATATTATTCTTTAAAAACATTAAAGCAGTTTTTAAATATTTTATATGCATTATAATATGATATGCTACAATATTTCAAAAACACTTGATATTTAAGAGTTAATAATTCATATTTGTAAAATAAATACCATTTGTATAAAAAAAAAATAAGCTATGCTTTAAAAACGTGTACACTGACATACTTAATATGTAAGGACAATATGTTTTATATATGTGACCATGGACCACAAAACCAGTCATAAGGTTTTTTTTTTATAATAATAAATAAGCTTTCCATTGATGTATGGTTTGTTAGGATAGGACAATATTTGGCAGAGATACAACTATTTGAAAATCTGGAATCTGAGGGTGCAAAAAAATCAAACTAGTAAAACAAATATTATCAGTAATATTAGAGGTCGACCGATATTGGATTTTACTGATACCGATACCTAGGTTGGACCACACTGGCCGATACCGGTTAATTAACCGATAGTTTTTCAAATAGATACTGAACAGAAAATAAAATCTAGTCAATAAATCATTCCCTACAGTATACTGTGTACAAACACCGTTTCATTGTCGATGTTTTAAACCCACCTCTGAAGTGCTCTGTGCAGCGAGCAGTATCACTTGTCTAAACAAACTGCACATGCTGTCAGTGAGTTCCGCCTCTAGGCTGCTCTCGTGCTGTATAACAAAGACTATAGGGACTTTTATGCATAAAGAGGACCTTCTCAGCCACTCCAGCAATGGACACAACCAGGAAAAACTATCGGCATGGAATTTTGCTGATAACCGATAGTTTCACCAATCAACTATCGGTGCCGATTAATCAGCAAAACCAATACATCGGTCGACCTCTAATAATTTGCAAATAAATTCTTTAAAAATCCTACAATGTGATTTTCTGGATTTTTTTTCTCATTTTGTCTCTCATAGTTGAGGTATACCTATGATGAAAATTACAGGCCTCTCTCATCTTTTTAAGTGGGAGAACTTGCACAATTGGTGGCTGACTAAATACTTTTTTGCCCCACTGTATTTGAAAATCTGGAATCTGAGGGTGCAAAAAAATCAAACTAGTGAGAAAATTGTATTTAAAGTTGTCTAAAGGAAAATTACAGGCCTCTCTCATCTTTTTAAGTGGGAGAACTTGCACAATTGGTGGCTGACTAAATACTTTTTTGCCCCACACTATTTGAAAATCTGGAATCTGAGGGTGCAAAAAAATCAAACTAGTGAGAAAATTGTATTTAAAGTTGTCTAAAGGAAGTTCTTAGCAATGCATATTACTAATCAAAAGTTAAGTATTGATATATTTGTGCTAGGTAATTTACAAAATATCTTCATGGAACATGATCTTTACTTAATATCCTAATGATTTTTGGCATAAAAGAAAACATTGATCATTTTGACCCGTACAATATATTGTTGGCTATTGCTACAAATAGTAGCACACTTATGACTGGTTTTGTGGTCCAGGGTCACATATTATAATTGATGGTTACACCATTTGACATTGTTGGGGTCTTTGTAAAGCGTTTTGTTTAATATTAAAGCTTATTAAATAAATAAATACACTAAATTAATTTAAAGCTTTTTGTTGAAAATATATATATTTTAAAGTCATATGAAATCAACATGAGTTTTAATATTTTATTTTAAAACTAGATTTATGATAGGGTTTTTCCGATAAATTTTAGACTCTCTCATTTTTCATGGACCCATTAACTTGTTGTGCATTAAAGCAGTATTTTTGCAGTTATGTTTGGTTCTGCTAGTGAAGCAGAAATTACAGACTTCACCTTTAAGAGCCGAGTCAAAGAACTGAATGACCTTTGAAACAGCGTATATCTCAGTGAAGTAGTATTTTAATGACAGAAATGTAAGCATGATTGACTTTGGGTTCACACCCCCAGAACATTTCTGCTACTAATTCTGGGGCTTCACTTGGGACTGTGCTAAGAATACATCATTAAATGGGTCAGCAGTGCAGTGATATAAAATCATTCACACTTGAAATGTCCATCAAATCATTATTATGGCTCGGGTTACCGCTGTCCTGCCTGACCTCAGCTGCCAAAACTCAAAAGACTGGATAAATCATGGTAACATGATGCTATTACAATTTAAAGCTTTCAGTTAATCCTACATTTCAGCTTGTAACCGTAAAAATGATTGTTCCCCTTTTAGTTTCGATGTTCCTTCAGAGTTCTAATAAAAATATGAGATAATGTGAGAATTCTCTGGTGGATGAGTCACATCCTGAAGCACAGCCGCTGTTGTAATGAACCCTCTCATCTCTTATCCTGTAGCAACATAAAATATTTATCTGATTTAATAAAAAAAATAAACGCTCTTTTTATGTTTTGCAGTAAGGGATGACATATTTCAACCACTGGCAAGCTATGACATGACATTAGATGAAGGCAGGAGTTTCAAATCAACATGAAAATAAAATTGACCCATATACCCATTGACCCATTTACTTTCTTAATGCATGCAAAACAATTCTATTTAAAAATGGACTCTAGATTGAATATATCAAATGAAATCTACATGAAATTTGAGGAAAAGTAAGTAGATTATAGGATAAATACTCAATGTATCTTTCTTGTTGATTTATCACATCAGGCCGGATTAGGACACTGTCATTTTTAAAGCAACTCAACTATTTATATGCTAATGATGAATGAATAGATTGGTGACAGAGATGGAAACATGAAGAAGTGTCAGACTTAAAATCACAGTTAAACTACAAAAAATGTACTTGAGACTTGACTTAAACCCGTAAAGACTTGACTCAACTTGGACTCCAAACTGAACCTCTGAGCCACATCTTTGCCATGCAAAAGCAATTTTTGGTTCCCCAAATAACCATTTTTATTAGTGTTATGACCATTTTAATAATCTGAAGACATGTTTTACAAAGAGCCTTTATGGTCCAGTGGAAATTATAAAGGTTCTTCATTGAACCACAGATGCCAGTAAAGAACCTTTCTTTTTTTCAGAGTGAAGGAGATATATTTTCTCTGAATATCACAAAACTATTAACATAGTACAGTGTTGAATCCTATTGACTCCTCCCTTACTGACTCAGTGTATATTGAATAAACTGTTAAATAAAAAAAGAGGGACATTAGGGAAGAAAATACATTTTAGTTCAAGTAAAAACTCATACACTTTGAGACTTGCACTGTGAGCTGTAAGGTCTTATATAGATAGGTGTGTGGCTTTCCTAATCAAGTCCAGTCAGTATAATCAAACACAGCTGGACTCAAATGAGGGTGTAGAACCATCTCAAGGATGATCGGAAGAAATGGACAGCACCTGAGTTAAATATTTGAGTGTCACAGCAAAGGGTCTGAATACTTAGGACCATGTGATATTTCAGTTTTTCTTTTTTAATAAATCTGCAAAAATGTCAACAATTCTGTGTTTTTCTGTCAATATGGGGTGCTGTGTGTACATTAATGAGGAAAAAAATTAACTTAAATGATTTTAGCAAATGGCTGCAATATAACAAAGAGTGAAAAATTTAAGGGGGTCTGAATACTTTCCGTACCCACTGTATATATATTATATATCCCTTTTTACTATGTCCCTCATTATTTATTTATGCTGCTATTGAAGTGCCTTTCATGTAGACATTTTATTCTTCTACTCTTCCATGTCCCAGACCCAGATCTTCAGGTTTTGCAAGCCAAATCCTTGTCTTATTCTAGAAGCAGAACAAAATGTTCTATGTGTTCTAAACAGATGGGAGAGAGAAAGCCACAGATGTCTTTCCTTCAAATGATGATGAACGGCTGGAAGTTTAATGGGATGAAAAGCATTTGGGATGCACTGTGTTGTGATTGACTCTGTCCTGTGCAGATCATAGATCTACACAGCTTGTAGTCAGATTGTTTGTTCCTAAATGATAATTGTCTGTTTATTACATTATTCAATACAAATGGTTCCTGAAATGGCACATGTTGTTTCAACTTGGTGTCAGTCTAACATTTTTTTATTAAAATTACACTTCAGTGCAAACTTGCAAAGATGACATTTCTAAACCTTAGATGGTTTGCAGACCTATAGTGCATTAGTATATAAAGTATTGAAAATTACATAAATCAACATTATTTTTTAATTAGAAACTTTCCAACATCTTTCCCCTAATTTTATTTTGTGCTGTTGCTAATCTGATGATGCAAGTGCTCATTTATTACACTACCTTAATTTAGTCTTTTCTCTGACTTGCATATCATTTTTTGCTTTGAACTATTGTGGCTCATGATCAGGGGCAAGCTAATCTGAAATAGTTCATGATAATATGCAAGTGGCCAGAACTATTAATTGAACAATTGTATCAGCCCACAAAAGGCTGTATGGAAAATTAAGAAAAAATAGTGGAAAATTAGTGTAGACCTTTTTCTTTTTAATAGTGCTCGTTAGGCCTCATTCATAAAACTAGGTCAGTATGAATTTCTGATTAAATCATGAAGACAAATCCATTTTGAATCGACCCAGTATCCACCCAGAACCTTTACTTCCTTTACATTGGAGGGCATTTATAAATAGAACGGATGAAAGTAATCAATTTTTCTGTTCGCATTCGCAGGTCCTTTAAACACTTGATTGGAGGTCTGGACGATGTCTCGAACAAAGGCTATGATGATGCTGGCGCCAAAGCAAAGTAAGTCTGATACTCAACATTTTCTGATCATGTTATCAGACTATATGGAGCTCTGTACATTAAATTATAATTCAGTATGATTCAATCAAGTACAGTGCAATCAAAAAGTATTCAGTTTTTCACCTTTTATCTTGCTGACTTCTGGTAAAATGCTTTATTATTATTTTTTTTCATACCCTACAATCATACCCTACATTTATTAAAAAGAAAACATTGAAACATCACACTGACATATGTGCCATGCTATTACACTTAAAGGGGTGGTTGATTGTGATTTCACTTTTTTAACCTTACTTAGTGTGTAATGTTGCTGTTTGAGCATAAACAATATCTGCAAAGTTACGACGCTGAAAGTTCAATGCAAGCGGAGATATTGTCTTTTAAAATGACGGCAGTTTAATGCCTACAATTACGGCTCGTATGGACTACAACGAGTTACTTCCCGGGGAGGTGACATCACAAACCCTGAAATTTACATAAACCCTACCCCCGGGAACATGCAACAAAAGGGGCGGGGCCATATTGCGCTGCTTTAGATAAAGAGGAAGAGTTGTTGCCATGCTCTCATATTCTCAATCGGGCTCAAATTGATAAGCAATATTGACGACGCCACTGTTTACAATACAACCAGAGCACATGCCTCTGAGGTGAGGGGCGTAATGTTTCTGCACGCGCACTAGAGGTGGTTTAGCCAATCACAACACACTGGGCCAGCTAACTGAGCCCATTGCGTATTTCTGAGAGAGGGGCTTCATAAAACCAGGAAATCATCAGAGCATTCATAAGAGAAAGGACAGAGCAGTGCAGAATAAAGATAAATGATGTGAAAAAAAAATACAAAAACGTTGCTTTCTCTTCCCTTAATCTCTCCATGGCTAGTTTGTACTAATCTGAACAATGCCTGAAACTTTGTATAGCAAGCACTTCCTGCATTTATTTGCTTCTTTATGACGAATCGCTTATTGTACTCCTCAATTGTAAGTCGCTTTGGATAAAAGTGTCTTCTAAATGAATAAATGCAAATGTAAATGAAAAATAATGTTTTTTTAAGCATTAACACATGTTAGACTGCACCCCATAAGCACAATCAAGCCTAGAAAAAAATACCCCTTTAAAAATGAGCTCAGATTCATCCCATTTCTCTGGATTGTCTGTAAGATTTTTACTACACTTTGACTGGAGTGTGCTTTTTGCTTGTCATGTTATGGTATGGAGTGTAGATTGATGTGAAAAAGTGCAAGCAGAAGGCTGCAACATAAAATAATATGAAAAAAACAAAGAGGTCTGACTATACTTTCTGAATGCACTATCAAGTAAAAAAAAAGTATTTTACACGTACAAACTACATACACAAACACGCTCCCTTTGTTAATAGCACCTTTGCAATATGAATTAATCTCTTCTGTAATGAGTTCGAACATGTGGCGTATGATGAAGGTCCACAAGGCAGAAATGAATTGGTCTGTGTTTTTCATTTGATTTGCATGTCTGGCAGTGGCTCTGACCTCCTTGTGGCTATAATTATCTCAGCTGACCAACTTTATAGTTTTCACCATATCTGCAGACATGTTGAGCTTTCTCAACATTTTAAATTCCAGTTGCATTTAAAATCTATCTGTCTGTCTATCTATCTGTCTGTCTGTCTGTCTGTCTGTCTGTCTGTCTGTCTGTCCTCAATGCTGTGCTTAATGCTTCTTGTTTGTAATCTTCAGCCATAGCTTTGTTAGGTCTTAAGTCTTAGCAGACGTTTTGTATGCAGTTTGGCTGATGAGATATTGTTATTATCAAAAAGCATGGAGTCTGCACACACAGTGAGTGATTTAAGAGCGCCCTCATGTGGCCATACCTACATGTACAATGTCCAGTGGTAAACATTGTAGGCATTTTAGAATATTTTGTCATTTGTAGAATACAATTTGATTTCAGTTCTATAATTGTTTTTAAGTTACTGTGGACTATCAACACTGCTCAACAGTCCATGCAGTGTCTCATATCTGATCATGATTAATTAGTATTATATTTTTATAAGGTGTGTGCACCCACTACACCCTTTGTCTATGAAATACCATGTACAGTGAACTGAACAATATAATTAACTTGCATGATATGAGGGGGTGGTTTCAATATGCATACAATTATATACTGTAGCTGCATATTGTTGTTGAGCTAAAAAAAACAATCTCCAGAAAACTCCATATGTGCATGTGTTATGAGTTTAATGGGAATTTGAGAACACGATGTGCACTAGGTTTATTTTTTTAATTTTTTACACGCTTTCATAGTTTCTAATATTATTGTGGACAGATGTTTACAGCATTTCAGTAGAATTCTGCCAAAATAAAAGCTTGAGGATTTGATGATTAATGCTTGAAGGTTTGAATGTTTAAATTAATAAACACATAAATATTAGTATTTGAACTTGTAGTGTAAAATAAAATTTTAATTATTACTACATTTTTATTTGTATATATTTATATGTACTTTTATTACACAGTACAATTTTTGTAATTGTGTTATTTGACACACTATAACAACTAAACAGTCCACTTTAAAGTCATCATAAAACACACACACTCATACACACAAACACAAAAAGGAAAATATATATATATTTACGTTTTTTTCACTCTAGATTGAGTGATCTTCACTCAATCAAGATTCTTGATCTTCTTTTTCAATTCCAAAAACCGTAAATTTACCAGTATTTTACGGTAAAGGCACATTAAATGTAATCACAGTTATTCACCATTTATAGTATGGAAACGTATTGTTCTTTCTGTAACATTTTTACAGTCTTTTACTATTAAAATTGTTGTAATTTTTTTAACAGTGCACTGAATAATTTGTCATGTCCATCTATAGGTCCTTTCTGTGTTCAAAATTTGCAAAATGTATATAATGAGCGAGTACATCATGAATTCATCTTCCAAACCGCGTTTTTGTGTTATTCTGAATCACTACGGTACACTTATAATAAGTAGCCTACTTATATTTGGACTATTGTAGCCTGGTTGGGTCATCACCGCTGCGGAGTAACACATACCTGCGTGAATCGCCATAGATATAAACTTAGAGAAGTAGCTCCGGTTGGAATGTTCTTCCACGGGATGTGTGCAGTTCTGTTTATTAACCGCTAGAGCGCCAAAAGTTACATAGTGCTGCTTTAAGTGACCAAAATGAATGAACAGTTTCCAGCTGACAGGATAAAGCCATATTCTGCTGTTGGTCCAGCACAGCTGGAAGTGTGACCCATCACGCAGGTCAAATCACAGCATTTCTTTAGCATAGTGTTAGAGATGGGGCTCAGGTGTGTTTCCCCAAACTCTGGCATCAGGCAGTGCTCTGATGTTGAAATCCAAGCCAGCGGTCAGTCAAGGAAGGATGGCACAGTGCAGCACCCGCAGTGACACCAGCGTCTCTAACTGTCTGCAAACATAGCCATTGTTCTTCTGGAGTACACATGTACTGTACGATGGTCTTGTTGCCATGACGGCTGTTCAGCGTGTGTATTCAGCACCTCTGTTCTCATTAGAGCGTCAGGTTTGTGGAGGAGCTGGCGTGCTATACTCATAGAGGTCTGAAGTTGTGTTAATGCAATGCACTCTGCTCACAATAGCAAGTGTATAAACAACCTCTGTCACCCAAGAGAATTACGGTACATTCATTAGTTACTTGGATACTGGTCTTTGGCTCAGTGTGTGTTTCATATATGTAGATTGTTCCCTTTTTGTCATTTGTACTTTTTGACATTTTAGAAACAGTGATTTTTGTCTTGAATTTGGTAGGGCTTGGTAGTGCAGAGCAGATACTATTATTCAATGTTATTATGAGTGTTGTAATGTTTAATAATAATGATAATACAATTTATAATAATTGCAACACTTAATAATAATAATAATATTATAGTTATTATTTACAATACTTATAATTTACCATATGTATATTTGTTTAACAGTGTTAATATTACAATGTAATATTTGTATTATTTAATAATAATTATTATTAATATTGTTATTATTAAAAACATTATTGTTAGAATTATTATGTACAATAGTTGTTATTATTTACAGTACTTATACTTGTTTAACATTGTACAAAATTATGTTTGGTAGAAATAATAATAATAATAACAATTATTATTATTGAATTAGCATTACAAATATTACAATACAAGTACATATTATTATTATTATTATTTGCAATACTTGCATTTGAATAGCATTATTAGCTATTTAGATAATAATACAGATAATGATAATTGTTATTATAATAATTATGTACGATATTTGTTGCAATTTACGATATTTATATTTTGAATTGCTAATACTTATAATTTGTATTATAATTTACTACTACTACTACTACTATTACTACTAATAATTATTATTATTAACAATGATATTGACAATTATTGTTATAATTATTATCTACAGTACTTATATTTGTTTAACATTATAAATAATTAGATACTAATTATAATTATATAATAATTTGCAGGCTCTTACTACTACTGCTACTACTACTAATAATAATAATATATTCCATTCTACTAATATTTCAATCATATTTCACAATATTACAGTTTTTAAGTATTACTGTGTTTTTGAAAAAAAAAAATCCCATTCTTTGAACACTATGATATTTATAAATCTAGCCTGCTGCATGTAGAAAACCATTACAGACTTGACTTGTGATATGGAGGGCTTCAGACTTGGACTCACAGACTTGGCACCACGTCTGCCAAAAAGTTTAACAGTCTGATCTGAGGTTACCCCAAACGTTGCTCCACATTGCTTTGGCTGCGCTGGCTGTGCTGAGCACACAGATAAGGCAGATGTCATTTCACACTATGTCGTAGCAGAAAAATGAGGACACTATGTTCTGTCCTCCGCAATAGGGCAGACACATTTCCTATTGGCCTTATGCCATCAGTCCACAAACGCTTAGGGTTTACCTTCATTTCTCTTTCTTGACTACACCACGAGCACACTTCATGCATGTTGA